TCAGCATGTTGACAAACATCGTAATATATGGTCTTGGGTGCCTCCCGCCAATTTTCATACCAAGCATCATCAATGGAACTTCATCAGTATCCATTCCCTGAGAATAACCATGACAACTTCAGGCGTGTATTTATTGCACTATATATATATATATATATATATATATATATATATATATATATATATATATATATATATATATATTCTATAACAAACCGTTCTACTCATCAATTACGCCAAAAATATCGTGCTCGGTAATCGTACGCAAGTCTCGGAAAAGTTTCATTCACAATGTAGTCTTCTGAAATATCCGACTGAAATCATAATTTTCCGTAAACCCGCGATTTATTTTCCACTGTCTACATTTTCGAAAATGCTCACAATCCTTAGTAAACAAAAACCAAGTTGCCATTATTGTCTAAAACTTGTCTTACTATAATGCGTATTCCCATCGGGGATATTTTACTTGTCACTGTGGTAAGATTAAGTAGATTGTCCATAACAGACTGACTAAGCTATACACGCGGTGCGTCTCCCATCCAAGTGCCATTGAAAAAGTAGCTTAGTGAACAGTAAGTAACAAGTGTCGTTAATCAGGTTGTGCTGGTCTTTAAAAAGACCGATTATTTGTTCTCCGGCTCTAAAAAGAACCATTGTTCGTTCCCCGGTTCAGATATACGTCATGGTAGATGTTCAAAAACACTACCGTCCTGCACCAATCAAACTGATAACCGTCGAACCAACTTCTGTTCAACTACCTCTGGCACTGATGTTGGTATTTCTCTGCACACGTATTGGACCCGGGTTTACGGAGCTTGGGATGGTATAGTTTTCCGAACCCCGAAGAATAATGTTCAATAGAGTTCACTCCGAAGACCTTGGAGTTCATGACATCGGTCCCTTCCGTCTACTCTGCTCCAGGGGGAAGGAGGGCAGTTGGTCATTGTGATAACCTCCAATGCGTAGTTTGCGGTTGACATATCCTATTTAGGTTTAGCTTTTCAACACAACGGTAGATGGAGACGAGATGTGGATGTGTCTCTCGATAATCTGGCGTGGATCGCATTACTTTACACTTTACTGCAAATTTTATTGCTGATGTATAAAATTTGTGGAACAAGCGACGTGAGTGTAACAACAGCCGACCATGCCTAAGCTGATTACTGATACGCATTGAAGGAATCAGTTGCCTCGCCTTTTACTAGATTGACGGAAGCGTGTGCCTGATCATCTAGAGATGGAACAGAGTTTTAGGTATCTAGGGAGTTTGGTCGTTGCCGGAATTAGCGTTGCTGAAAAGATCACACACAAGTGCAGAAACTAGAGCAGTTTTCGCAAAACTGAGACATTGAGGGCATCGATAAGATATTCCACTTTATCTTAGGGGAAGGGTGTACATCACTGCGGTTCGCAATAATTACCCCATACGGTTGTGAAACCTGATCTCTTCGGGCTAACAATGCTAATCGACCTTCCGCATTGGATTAACGGTACCTTCGAAGAATTCCTAGTGGCTGGCAGGAACATCTCGTGAGTAATGGCGAGGTTTATCGGGCGTTGGGTGTTCGTACTTAACCTATGAGAGAGGAGTAGGATCTACGCCGCCTTCGATGGTTCGAACATGTTTTGTGGATACGTGCATATGGTCTATCTCTCAGTGCATTCTTTGCACGCGTTCCAAGAAGCAATTAGCGATCTGACCATGACCCATGAAGTATCTGGCTCTGGATGCTGCGTTCCGCCTCTCAAGCTGGGGGATGAGGATTAGAGAACCAGATATAGTGTA